TACTTAGAGCCTTAGAGCTTAGAATGACTCTGAAAGTTTGTTGGAATCTTCTGTGCAAAAAAACTACATAATGTAATGGGGAGAGATTTAAATGCTCTCTTCTCCACAGAGGAAACATATTGTTCCTTCATCTCTGGCCAATCCTTTTCTTGGGATGTTCTTGAGACATTTTAGTCTCTGATTTTCTGATTATGGAAAAGAACATTTTCTTTTATTTCTTCTATTCCAGAGGAGAGGGTATTCTCTGTGCTTTTGCACATTTCCAGTGCTAGTGAATATCTGATTCTCTGAAATGTTGTTCTTAAATGAGAAGAAGAAAATTGTTCATTTTGGGGTAGAAGCCAGGATGGAGTCAGGCATAGCTCAAGGGCTGGAAAAAGAGGCCCTGGCTAATGCTGCAGGCTGTATTAACAGCTTCTCATTTGTGTAGGCCTTCCTATGTATTTTTGTCTGCCTTGTAAATTAGGAGTTCCTTGGGGGTAGGAAAACTGTGTCCGTCCACCTGTTTGTAAAGCATTCTCATTAGTATTTGAACACTCATCCACTCAAATGCTGCCTGATCCCTATCTCTTCCCTTTGGAGTGGAGTTGAGGGGGTCTGGCTGGCAGCATGTGCAGTTCTCAAGGTGGTGCAGCAGCTGCTCTTCGTGTGCTGCCTCCCAGAGCTCCTGCTAAGTAGTATTTACTGTGAACCCAGTGCAGAGGAGTTTTTTTAGGGCACAGCTGTTACTGTGGTACTGTATACTCACCCGGTGTACCCATCCGCTCACAACAGAGCGTAGTAAGAATTCTCTGTAGTGTGTTGGGAGGAACATGTGATACTTCCAGCCTGCCAACTTGCTTTAAGCTGAGGATGTTGGAAGTCAGATATCTGTCTTGTAGGAAATTTATGAGGACTGAAAATTCACATCTCTGAAGCAGCACATATTCCTCTGCTTTTCTGAGAGCAGTGAGATGTTTGGTTTTTCAAGATAAAATCTGTGCTTGGGCTTGAGGCACTAAAGAACTACTATTAAAATTAGGTCTGTTGGTGTTACTCTGGATTGGATTTTGTAAATTAATTGACAGAAATAGCTGCACCCTGAAACTCTGATAAATGTCTCGCTGTAGCATTAAATAAAAGCATTTACAGCACCTAGCAACTGAGAGCTATGTTGTAATCCAGAGCAAGGGGTTAAGACTATTACAAAGGTTTTCTGAAATCATTCTGTCTGGAACTTGCCCAGAGATTTGCTTTAGGAAAAAGGATTGGAGGTCAAATTGAAAAATGCATATTTATCCTTGACAATAGTATATTTCTCTAAATTTGTTACTTCTGTTAATAGAAGAGAGACTGAGATAAGAGCAAAGTAGAATTTGCAATGGAGACAGATCTGGGTTTCCAGTCTAATTCTAAGGTTTAATTAGCATTAGTCCTTCAAAAATATTTTCAAAAAATATTTTAAAATAGAAAATGTTTACCAAAGATTTTGGAAAGACATAGTGAACTCTTCACTGCTTGTGATTTATATTTAGTAAATGTTTTAGTAGATCAGAGATGGATTTTCAAAGGAAAATACCAACAGATAAAAGATAAACTCTTTGCATTCCATTCCTTTCAGCTGGATCTTTAGAAATGGGAACAAGATAGTCTTGAATGTGCCTTGACACTTCAGATCTGTGTGCCCTGTGTCTCCATGTGCACACTGGTATTTTGTTCACAACAATTACTGACTGCTCTCGATGTCTGCTGGAAATGCATGCTGTGCTTTCACTTGGAGCACTCACAGAGATGTCTCTCAGGTTCTAACTAAAATACATGTAATTTTGTACTTTGATTTTCATGTTTCATACAGATTATGCATCCAGTCTTTAATAATGCCATTTATATAAAATTTTACAGGACCAAATAATCTAGTGTGCTTTTAGCCAGTGGGAAGACCTTGAGAAGAAGTAATTCTTTCCTGATATCTACTACTTGTCTGAATTGCAGATACAATAAATCAGATATTTTATACTTGTGAGTCTTGCTGTCTGTGAAGTAAGGCTAAGCTGATTTTTGGAGGTAAAGTGACATCAATGGAGTGCTGTCCCCTGAAATAGGAATTGAAAAAACAGGACTGTATGAAAGAATCCCCCGCAGATACTGCTACCCTTATACTTAGTTGAAGAAGTTGAAGCCCTTTCATTTCCTTTTTAGGTAGCGACTGACTGAGCCATGGTTGAGATTGTTTCCTTCTCTTTCACAGTATGGTGCTCCTTGCCTCAGAAACAGTGTTGCAAAGTTAGAAAGTCATGTAAATCACAAATTCAGAGTTACTGAGGACTTTTTTGTTTGAGAAATTCTTGTGATGAATGTTTTTTTAATTTAGGTCGTATTTTCTAAAATATTAGGCAGAAAATATCCTGTTAGAAGAAATGAAATTAGGTCACTCATTACAACCATCCCCTCCCTCTAAATGGACTCTCATTCTAGGAGGGTTGTACTTGCTGTGACATGATTTTAAGGTATAGCAATTTCCTGTGGGGCTACTAAAAGCAAAAGTCAGAGCAAGTGAGAGGGAAGCCAGTGTGTTAGAGCTGTGTTAAACTAGCCCCAGATCTAGAGTGTGTTATCCCGTCTCTGGAAGCTCTTCTTCTCTGGGTTTATTTTGTTAGAGGCATCACTGGGGAATGGAGGGAGAGATAGATGTGTTGAGTAAGAATACCCAAATTACAGCAGATGTTTGACTTTCAGGAACTGGGTTGATGTTCAAAAACCAGTGTTGTTGACAAGAAAAACATGTATTGGGGGGAGTGTCCTAGAATTTGGAACCAGCATCACACAGTTAATATTCTGTGACAAGAACATGTATGTTTCATGAGGAGGTTAAAAGTGGTGTCTTAGAAAAGTGATGTGTGAAGATTATTTATTTTTAAAAGGATAATTTGAAAAAGACAGAAGTTTCCTACTTCATGAATTCAAGCCTTACTGACTCATTTGTCTGAGTTTGGCTTTAGTTTGCCCTTTCTTTACCTTTTGTTCTTTTGCAGATTCTATTTCTCAACATATTTGTGGGACTAAGCAAGGAAGAATCTTTGAGTGACTATAAAAGTATATGTGGGTGTACAAATGATCCATATTCTTTATGGGCTTCTGGATTCTGTGTACTTGGCACACTGCAAGTCAATAAAATGCATAGAAGCTAATGTTTGTATAACAGGTTAGAAAAGCTATGCTTGTAACACAAATTTTTTGGGTTTTGGTTGTGGTTTGTTGTTTTTTTTTTTTTTTTTTTTTTTTTTTTTTTTTTTTTTTTTTTTTTTTTTTTTTTTTTTTTTTGTTTTTTTTTTTTCCTTGTGAGGGTGCATTAGATTGCAGGATAGAACTCTATCTTTGAAACTACCTCAGAATATTTCCCCCATCCCTCAATTCCTTAACACCAGAAAAATACATTGGGGAATAGTACTGCCATTATTAGTCAGCTCTACTTGCATGAGAACATTGTATTTGTGGCTGTCTTTCACTCAGAAAACACAGAACTCTTTGCTTCGATCTCAAATGAAAAGGTATTAAAACTTGTCTCTTTCAGTCAAATCAGTTCTGGGAATTACTTACAGTGCCTAATTCCAAAGCAATCTTTGCTTTTAAATAGTTTGAGTATGCAGGATGCTGTGTGTTCAAGCACTCTGATACTAGAGCTAGTGTTCTAATAAACTGACACTTCCCATTGTCAGACTGCACTGTCAACTGAACTTCTGGCCTCAATACTGAGCACCTTTAACAGCGTGTTAAGAAAGGGCTTTTTCCTTTTTTTGCTTATTCATCTTTGCCAGTAAAGCACATGAGCTAACAGTCTAGGGAATTGTTGTGGAAGGAGTTTTTTTTCTTTAGTATATTTATAAGTGACTAGAAATTTGACTTCATGGTTTCAGACTGGCAGAATTCACAGGGGACTTTTGGCTCATAATCAAACACATCTTTATTTTATGTTCACTGTACTGAAGGAACAGAATTTTTGAATGCAGCCTTTGTTGTAGTACTTTAGATTATCCTTGGGATTTTTAGTGAGGAATGTAAGGAAGTGAATTTCTAAAAAAAAAGACCTATAGCTTATATCCATGCTCTTTCTGTACTGGGTGCTGAAAGGAGAGGACAGCTCTGGTGTGTTTGTTAAAATTTGCCTGGCTGACGGTATGTGAAGGCTTTTCTGGTTTAGTGCTGTACTGGTATTATCCATAGAGAAGCTGAGAGGGCTGTGTAAAATTGAGATCAGGGTGCTGTCCATTCAGAGAAGATGCAGTTCACAAGCTGACTGGAGCCAACAAAATCTGTTGCCACAGTGAACAAACAGAACTTTTGGACTGTTGTGTCAGTTGTTAGGTTTGTGGTTGCAGCACTGTGGTTTCTTATTTCTGAGAGTGCTGATCTTTGGAGTGTGAGGTCCAACAGTTGGTGAGATGGGTATGTAGTAATTTGTGTTGGTAATGGAGCTGCAGTTGTATATGGGTAAGGTTAAGTAGAATAATTTCCTCTAAAGCCTGCTATTAAAGAAACAAAGTGTGCCCAAGGCCACTCACACACATTCATTTTCTGTCCCCTCAATAAAATGAATTAATTTGGGGAAAATGGCTTTTAGGAGAAAAAATAGAATAAAATCATGCAGTGGATAGTGGTTCATTCATTTTCTGCTTTTGAGTAATATCTCTATATACTGCTGCTGTATAGAGATAATTATCCCCTTGAGATAGTGATAATAGGTGGTAAGGGAACCACTACATTGTGCTGAACTCTCAAAATGGAAGTAACAAGTAGATGGTGTCCTGGACCTTTGCAGAAGCATGTGTTAACTTTGATTTGTTTAATTGCCGTAAGTTTTGATTTTTCACCCATATAATAACGGATACAACTATTGTTGTATCTATTTGTGTATTTTTTGCTGTATCTATTCTGTACTATAATTCTGGGCAAGTTCTTCAGCTGTTTTGGATATAGAATGACTCATCAGGATAAGACTTTTTCTTTTGTCTTTTTCCACACAGATCACCCCTGGCAGCAAGGCAGCACAGTCCCAGATGAACCAGGGGGACCTTGTCGTGGCCATTGATGGAGTCAACACTGACAGCATGACCCACCTGGAGGCCCAGAACAAGATCAAATCAGCCAGCCACAACCTGAGCCTCACTCTGCAGAAGTATGTTGGAATAACTTTAACTCGTTGTGTTCCTAAGGACAATGTATGAAACTTGTCACTGAAGGTTGCAAGTGTTTTATCCCTGTCTGTTAGATTTATTTGAAGTGCTCATGGCACAGATATGAGATGAAAAGCCAAAATCTGCTCTGATTCTTGTAGAAGTCAGCACAGATTCCTACAGAAATGGAATGATTAGGTTGAGTGTATCTGTGTGGGATTTAGCCTACTGAATACAGGTGTAATCTCATATCCATTCAAGCTTCTGTTAAATGAATCCAACAGTGATGTTTCTTCTCATGTGGGCAACCCAGTTCAGTTTGGCTAATTTATGAACAACTGTTCTAGAGACAACAAACAGAAGAAGTGTTACAAGTGCCTGGGAGGAACCTCGTGAGAATTTGGGCTAATGGTCTGGCACCTGTGCATTGGAAAGTCTGCTCTGTATCTGACTGAATAAGAAAGGTGTAGCCCAAGTGCAGGAAAGGGAGGCATGGAAAGGGCAGGTTTTATCATAGAGATGTGATAAAAGTTACCATTTGCTTGCCATTAAGAAAGCAGTTAATAGGTCTTTTAACTTCTGCTGGTTAATGTTACTTCCAAGGAGACTTGTTCTCAAGTTAGATAACCTTGCACAGAGGATTTCTGTAATAAATGCATTAATATTTAAAGCTCCATAATTATAGAAAGAGATGTAGCTGCTAATTTTATTGCATTGTGAAGAGGAAAATTTTTGTACAGGACAGGCAAAGATGAGCACAGAAAGCAGACTGTAATGTGGAAGTACAATTTCTGAGAATATACCAAAGAATCTCATATATGAATGTGCAGTAGAGATAGTCGGTGTCATGAACATACTAATAGCTAAAGAATAAGGAGTTTAGATGAAGTTTCCAAGACAGGACAGGGTACTATAAAGTAAAATATGTGGCTGATTTTCCCCCATCGCTTTAAGTTTCTGTTTGAGTGGTCCAGATAGAAAATCACTGTCTTGATGCATGTGGTTGAATTCTCATCCTATCACCCACTCCAACTTCTGTTTTCTTCACTTGGAGTTATAGTGTTATTCCAAATATATTTATGATTTTTTTTTGCAAAGATTTAGATTGTTCTGAATGTTTTTTATTTAAAAGTTAGGTGAAATCCTTTCTGATTGTTAAAATGTCTGTCTGATTTTCTGTTGAACCTTTGTGTTTTAACATTGAGAGAAAACATTTATTATTTTGCTTTGGGTTGTTCTACATTTGGTATTAAGTTTCCTGAATATTGAACCAAAAACATTCTCCAGTGTCTGCCTCTATGGCCTGGCCATAGAGGTTTAAATGGTTTAAAACTACAAACCAAAAGCTCTTCTTATTCACAGAAGGATTTCCAAATTCATGACTAACAAATCCAGATTATCCTAATACATATCACAGAGACAAGTTACTTAAAACAGTAATTTTGATCAAGTGTTGCCAGCGATATTTCATTTGAGTAATCATTGTGCTTTTTTATTTGCTGACCTCTAAATTGCAACATCACCAATTCTAGTGGCCACACGATTAAAAAAAAAGAAAAAAAAAAAGAAAACTAGTGGAAATACCTTTATTAATTGCTTTCATCTCTGTTTATTTTTTCTTCTATTTTTTAAGGCTTTCCCTGTCTCTTGGTTTCAAAACAATAATATATAATTCAGATACTCAAGTTATATGGATAAAGAACAACCAAAGAAAGCAGTAATGGAGTGTTCCAGAGACTGAAATATGCTTGCATAGGTAATAGATGTAGATATTCTGAAAATAAGGAAAATGGCATAAAGTAAAATTAAATAATAGTAAATAGATGATAAAATAGCTTTTTTATCAAATCAAAATTTTCTCAGATGATGTTTTTGCTCTGAACTTATACAATTAATGGACTCTTCAGCTACTTTATGATGTGAGCTATTAGTTCACCTTGGGGACCCATACAGCCTCATTGGGAAAACCCAATGAAAAAGACTGAAAAGTAATTTTTTTTCAATAATTTTTTTATTAGATGACATGAGGCTGTTCAAAAATGTTGTGCTCAGAGGCATTAAGCTGCCTTTGTTTTGCACAATTCAGAATTTATAGACACTAAATCCTAGCAGCAAGTGATATTGACCAACTGAGGTACACATAGAACCCTATTAAGAATACAATGTCTTGAACAAAAGGCATCTCCACTATATTCAGGAAGTTATATTAATCTTGCCTTAATTTTTTTTTTTCCTTGACACAAATGGGTTCATTTACCCAAGGACAAAAAGATTGTTAGCTTAGTCACCTGCCCAAAATGTACAATGTAATATCCTTTTTTCAGCAAAGAATTTTACAGATATTGGATTGGTGAAAAGAATAACACGAAAAGAAGGTAGCAGTGACAAGGGATAGTAACTTTCAACCAAATAAGAGCAAGACAGAAGAGAGGCAAAATCTCCTGGGACGTGGTTACGAGGAAAATGACTGTGCTAAGAGATCACTTTGACTTTTTTTAGACATGGCTTGCAGCAATGAAACTGGAGCAGTGTTCTAGTACTATGGAAAAACAGCCCTAGTTGCCATAAAGAGCACAGAGATGGAAGTGCTCACTTTATCCTATTTGTATAAAAGTTTGGAAATGCTGAAAATCCTTTCCAATGGAAAAGGCACATATGTGCATTAGGAGATTGACTGTTGTGATAGGAAAACTTAAGCTCTAAATTGTGGTGATATTGGACATATATGTGAAGTAGTCACATGGCTCTACAGAATATGTTTCAAGGTCAAAGAGAGCCTTACCAGGCAATCTGTGGCTTGGTTTTGCTATTGCAGCGCTGGAAGTAGAATTGATCTTGCTTGTTTTATCTGTAAGTCCATGGAAGAAGCAGTGGAATGTGAAATCTTGATGAAAATCCTCTGAGGTAGAAATCTTTTTTTTTTTTTTCCCTAATGGTTCTTGGCTCTCAAGAGCGATGGCCTTTCCCTTTATTCGTCGTGGCCGTGAAGGTTTCATGAGCATTGTTTATAACCTGACATTTAAGACAGTGTTTGCTGCTACCCACTTTTATTACAACACTTCATTCCCTGTGGACTTTTTTCAGGGTGGGGAACTGCTTGTTGTTTTAATTTGGCTGTCAAAAAAAGCTGTACATGGTGTCAGCACTTGTGCAGGGCGTCCAACTGCAAGGCATCGATCATTGAAAAAAAGGAAGTGTTAAGAGCCTCCATTCATACTTGCCTGCCTAAACTGTGATTTCCTTTATGAACTTAGTTTTAATTCAAGTAGCACCTGCACTGTTCAAGGCACACTAACCTTCCACGAATGTTCAGTGCTGGCCTGAGTGGAGCTCTCCATGTTTCAGCCACGGCTTCAGGAATTTGTGCATGCCAAGTGTTTTCTGACAACTGCCTTCCCTAAATTCCCTCTTTAATTTGTTCTTATCACCTCAACCATGCTATGTTTTCACATAAACCTACCAAATTAGACTGGAAGTCTCACCAGCTATGCCAGAGGTTTGATCAGGCAGCCAGAACTTGTTAGTGGCTTGAGCTGCATTGTCTGGCTGCCGATTTCTCTAGAGCCTACAGTGTGCCTCCCTTTGCTGCTTCTGGGGAGCAAAAAGATGCAGACAGGCAAGTGCCGGGAAGTTGAGGTATTTGGGCCATGCCTGGAGAAAGGGACCTGTCATCCAGTGACGTGGCAATGTCTGGCACCCTCCAGACTAGCACTGCTTCGTTAAGTTTAGAAGACAAAGTACATGTAGGATGTGGATTCTCTTTTTTTGCTGAAGAAAGGAGAAGGAGTGAGAGGAGAAGGAAAGAAGTATCTTTGGCACTGTGCATTATTACTCAGCAGAACTCCCATGAGACACTCAGGCAAACTAGGCTGATATTCTAAAGTGTTACATACCTCTGTAGACTCAGCTTATTCCTTAGAAACCTGCATTGCTCTAGGTGTACTGAGGGGGGATTGGTGCTGGTTCTGCTGGACTGTGCTGTGGAAGGCTATGATCACACTCTATAATGGCCTGGCTTGGGGTGGAAAAAAGACATTGCTTTGCTTTTTGTCTTTTTGTGACCTCCTGGAGTTCAGTTCTCAGTCATTTTTCAGTATCAGTTTCTAATCAGTTACTTGAGCTACACAGCTGCCCTCAGGCATTTTAATTCTAGGCCAGTCAAAGTTCATCTTTAATTGTCTGTCTGTCCCACAGATATTAGGCCATAAACATTGGATCATGCGGTATTCAGTTCACAGTAAAAAACAAAATGCATGCAAAGTCTATTTTTATTTCCTACAAATGGGTTTCTTTCTTAAAAAGAGAGTAGCGTTATTTGTCAACATGTTTCACTGGAGCACCCACAACATAACTCAAGTAATCTGATCAGCCTCCTTGGAAAGGATTCACCAAATGTACTGGCTTAGTTTTGGAAAGTGCTGTAATATGAGTTATCCTCATTCTGCTGGCACAAACATTCCTGTGTCACTCTAAGGCTCCGCTTTGGCGTCACTCTGTGCTGCTGGAGAGGAGCAGGGGAGGTGGAGACTTCTGTGCCGGGTGCACATGGACAAAACTCCCCCCTCCCAGGGCATGCCAGTGATGCTACCCTTTGCTTTCAGACAGTCACAATTGGCTGTCTTTTGCTGGAAAATCATGAGCTAAATAATTCTTTTCTCTACTGAAAGGGAAAGTGTCAGAGGCGAGGCTATGAGAGACTGATGGTAAATATTTAATAGCTTTCCTTTTTTGTGCAGCACCAAAAGATGGCTGATCCTGCAGTATTTATTTCAGGCCTACTATAAATAAAGCATGTGGTGACAGCAAACTGCAAGTAAGGGGAACTCAATGGTTGTTTTAAACTGCTTTCTTTTGTCTGAGGCAGGGTGTAGTAACCAATTCTGTGCATGTTTTAGGTCTGCTGATGGGCACACTTAAATCAGAACCAGAATAGGGCTGTATTTATGCTCAGAAGAATTAAAATATGGTATCTGTTCCAGTTCAGGGTAAATTAGAACTACAT